CAGAGTCCCCCGGCCCGGCGGGGACGTGCCGGCGGCGGGAGGCCCCTCTGAGCGCTTCGGTTTCTGTTTCCTTCTCCCTCTGGCTGGTAACGGCGGCTCCGGTGAGGCGTGTCTGGTGAGGTCACCCTTTGTTTTGCGTGTTTGTGGGGTGCTTTCTTCTTGTATTTGCTTCACGGGTGGATTGATGATTTTTTTTTTTTTCTTTTTAACCTGGATGTTTTTCGGCTGGGGAGCTTTCAAGTCCTCTTTCCTAAACAGTGTGGTGGCGTAAAGGTAGGGTGAAGCCTTTCCCAACCACATACTTTGTAGTAAAATAGGAAATTTTGTCAGGACAGCAGAAGAAGCACTCCATCGTGGGTTCATCCACAGGCAGCTGTACAGCATCTGCCCAGCTGCTGAAGGAGGGAGTGAAGGAAACGGTGTGAACGTTTCTGCACACAGCTGCGTAGTTGCTCCGTGAAGGGTCTTGCAACTGCCTACAGACCCTCCCGTCGTTCCGCAGGAGTGTGGAGAGATCATTTCGATCATTTGAGACTCTCCGAGACAGTTGATCAGTACTGGAAAACGTTTACATAGTAGACAACAGTTTTCTATATTGTATATTGTCTATAGGCAGGGGTTTTTTATGACATACAGGAAGAACACAAGTTTCTAGTTGCATATCAGGTGCTGACAAAGGAAGGCATAGCTCAGTCATTGGCAGTGCTTGTGCTCCATCTTACATCGTGTCAAGATCCAGATGTGGTTGTATTGAGTCCTGAACTTGGAGACAACATTGAGTTTATTTTATGGGATTTGGTATGCAGGGATTTTATTTTCTGTTGTAGTTCTGCGCAGTGCTGTCAACCATGAGACCAGTTCTCTTTCTCAACCTGTTGTCCCAGTCACATGATCCAAGGACTTAAAAACTTTGAGGGGTGTTTTGGGCTGGGAGGAGACCTTTTCATAGAGACATTTAGCAAGTTCCTAGTAAATGAGAAGCTTGCACAGACTGCGATTCTTCAGTTCTGCAAGTGTTCATAAGCATAAATTCATAGAAATGTGGAAAAGCACTGGGATTTTTTTCTTTTTATTAGAATTAGCAGTACATACCTGCTTTTTTAATGAAAACTTTCATTCATGTAGTGAGCACAAAAGTTTTACTACTAGTCTAGTTGTTAAAGGTTGAAATTCTTTTTATATGTACTTTATATGCCTCTAAGCAGAGCAGACAAATACTGTGGTCTGATTATAATAATGCTTAGCTGGATGTTTTTATTAAACATAACAGCATGTGCCATCTAAACAATATTTTAAGAATACTGTTCATATTCACGGTAGCTTGTGAACTATTAGAACTTAACTATTGTTGCGGTTTGAGCCCAGAGGGCAACTGATCACCACACAGCCTGTCGCTCACCCCTCCCCCCCCCTCAGGAATGGGAAGGAAAAAATAAAGTGAAAGGCTCAGGAATCGAGATAAAAACAGAGGGGGATGACACACCCATTACAGGTCATGGGCAAAAGACAGACTCATTAGGGGAGAAAAAGTTCAAACACTAACAACAACACTTAACAACAGAGTACAACAGGAAGAAGTATAACCACACCTTAAAAACACCTTCCCCTTCCCCCCACTCCTCTTCTTCCTGGGCTCAGCTCTGCTCCGATTTCTCCACCTTCTCCTCTTGAGCAGCAGGGGGGTGGGAGGTGCAGTCAGTCCCACTGCTCCTTCCTTTTCAGGGGAGGAGGACTTGCGCTCTTTCTCTGCTCCAGTGTGGTGTCCCTCTCATGGGTGACAGTCCTCCACAGACTTTCTCCAATATGAGTTCTTCCTACAGGCTGCAAACTCTTCCCAAGCTGCTCCAACATGGATCCCTCCCACGTATTGCAGTCCTCTACAACACTGGGGACTTCCCACAGAGTCCTGGTCTTTTTCAGGTGCAGCCACCTGCTCTGGTGTGGGGTCTTCCATGGGCTGCAGGTGGGCATCTGCTCCACTGGTGACCTCTGTGGGCTGCAGGGGCACAGCCTCACCCCTCACCATGGGCTGCAGGGGGTCTCTGCTCTGGTGCACCTCTCCTCTTTCTTCTCCTTTCTTTCACTGACTTTGGTGTTTTCATAGTGTCTTCTTCACAACTCCTCCTCCTCCCAGGTTCCCCTTCGTAAATATATTTGTCACAGAGGCACAGCCACCATCACTAATTGGCTCAGCCTTGGCATAGAGGCAGGTCTGACTTGGAGCTGGGGGAGCTTTGAGAAGCTTTTCACAGCCCTCTCCTGCTACCAAAAACCCCACCACACACACAGACCCAACACAACTATTAATATGCCTTTTTTTTCTCTGATAAAAGGAAATAATAATTTCCCCAGTATTTTCTTGGTGCTACTGTCTTGCCCAGCTAAGCTAGACTAGTGTATAAGCATATATATATGTTTATATATATATATATATATATATATAAACAGTGTAATTAAATTTGTATAGCAGTAGTATGAAAGTTTCTTTATCAAGACAGAAGTAAAAGAGCAACTTAATTTTTTAGTTTTCTGCAGTTTGTAGTATGAGCTTGTCTAAAGATTCACCATCTTTTCCCCTAATGCAGCTGCTCTGCCACTTTTTCTGACTTTAAAACCACAATTCATAAGCTATTTTAAAACTTTTCTCCATGTATTTTTAAGTTATAGCCTGGTTCTGACTTGACCTTTTTTTTTCCCCCCCCTCTTTTTCATACTGAAGAAATATGGATGTCAAGAGTAGAAATTATTTACTTATGAATCGCCAAGCATTGGAAAAAGACATCAAGACCTCTTATATTATGGATCGTATGATTTCTGATGAAGTACTAACATTACAGGAGGAGGAGAGAGTAAAACAACAGGTACAATAATATGTTACTTAACTTCCTAGTCTACTTACATGTTTTATCATCCTTTTCAAAATGGTGATTTCTGTCTATCCTTCCTGAATTCAACAAATTCTGAAGTGTATGCCTACCATGCAGTTTTTATTGCACTTTATAAGATTGAGTTATGAACTTGGTCAAGTTGAAGGCTATTTTTGTAACTATAAACAGTCTATAACTGACAGAGTGATAGATTAGATGATTTCTAAGGTCTCTTAATTTTGTATAACATGTCTTTTAATGTTTTCTCTAGAATACACAGAAGGAGCGAGCAGCTATGCTAATAAACATTATTCTTACAAAAGATAATAATTCATACAGATCCTTTTATAATGCATTGCTTCATGAAGGGTACAGAGATCTTGCTGCACTTCTTCAGGATGGCATTCCTGCCATCTCCTCTGGTAACGGAAAGAGTTCAACGGATGGAATGACTTCATACGGTCAGTGTAACTACAGCAAATCCCTGTGCTTGAAAGTAAAGTTGCCTTTTTTATTCATTGATAAGTGACTATCTGTAATACCTGTTCCAATGAAGGAGTAGTTGGTGCATTCACTTGTTTTGGTGTTAGTAGTCAGTATTTCTGTATTTCATATATTTCATATGATAGGAGAGCTGCAAAAGTTAGGACTTTTGTAGGTCATCTTGAAAATGTTCATATTAAGTAATGTTTATTTTAAAAGACAGGAGACCTGAAGCTCTCACAGTTTTCTCTAAATTGTAACATTTTGTTGTACATGACTTTTATTTCTATATATGTTAGAGAAGTTAAATCTCACATAAAAAGTTGTAGCCTCCAAAATTCTGACATGTATCTTAAAAAGTAATCTCTAATCGCTTAGCCTACTTTCCCGTAGTTGATCGAGTTATTAGGTTGCTTAATTCTCTTCACCAGGTCTTTTAGTTACTCTACGTAAGTTCCTAACTTTTACCTACATTGCCATCAGTATCATCTTTGATGTGAAATAAATTGGTAGTTTCTAATGGGAAGAACCTTTTAACTGCATATGTCTAACTGCCGTATTTACTGGCACTCTACATTTTAAGTGTCATAGGCATGTGGAATTTTGATTACCTGAGTAAGATTTCCCAAAACTTATGATTGTAATATGGCACCACATATGGTCACTTTAATAAATGCACATTTCCTTTCCTGTTATGTTTTACCTGACACAGCATGCTTTCTTTTCTGCTGCATCCATGGGGCAGTAACTTCTGGAAGAGAAAGTGATTTGGTAGTTGGGTATAGTGATGTTGAGCTCCTGTGTTTGCCACAGTTTCTACTGGAGTTGTAATAACTAGCTTGCCTTGTATGTAGTTATTAATTGGAACACCAGTGTAGGTGGGAGGCTAGTTACCGGTTAAGTAATTTATTTCTAAAAAGCAGTATTTTTTTTCAGTATTTGGTGTTGTGAGTCCAGTAGTTTTTAGAGCATTTGTATGGGACCCTGCTAATTGTTTGGGGTGGGGAGTTGTTTGATTTGATTTGAAGAGCCATCACATTTAGAAATTGCTGTTTATTTTCATGTTTCTTGTTTTTAACTTTAGTTAAGACAATCCTCTGTGAAGGAGGTGTACCACAGAGACCAGTTGTATTTGTCACTCGTCCAAAACTGGTAGATGATATTAAACAGAAACTGTTCTGCTTGGGAAGTGATCCAGGCTGGGTCACAGTATATGGAATGGCAGGTTGTGGGAAGACTGTTTTAACAGCAGAAGCTTTAAGGGATCATC